GTTATTCAACAAACAATCGAGTCCATACTTCTTTGAAATGGATAATAGTTTCAATAGGAAACTACAGTTCTTAAATCAATGGAAGTTTTTATTGTAATTTCTACTGTTAATCAATTGAATGAATAATCAACAGTTAAATGAATTAATAGATCAACATTTGAGTTTATTCATTTTAATATGAGGATGTATATTGCGATTATGTATATGAAATAATACTTAGCAATTTTTTTAACATTATTTTAAAGTACTAAGAAACTTCTTATAAAACCTACGAGTAAATACCTAAGAAAACTTGTCTCACAAATAAAAATTTAAAGAAAATAAACGTGCTGATCAAAACAAATTCATAAAATTCATTGTACCTTAATGTAATGTTATCCGTATCTAGAATATGATCTTTTGGTATTGCGTGAAGCTCAATCATTTGTTGTTCAGATAATTGATCAATCACAGTACGACTAATAGCTACTTGATTATCAGCTAGAAATGAATTTGGCCAAAGTAAACCTATTCTTAATAATCGTTGTTGATCTTTTGTTATTGATATAAGAAGGATATGATCATTTCGATGAATATCTCCAAGAAGACGCATAGTTTCTGGAGATATAAATACAATATCTGTTTGGATAAATGAAGGAAATGTTAAATCTTTGAAATAGTCTACAATGAAAAAAAAAATAAGAATTTTTGCTTTTTTCTCTTAACAAACCAGATTTATGTTCTTGAACAAGAAGTCTTGCTTGATTATGTTCGACAAATAAACCATTTAATTCATCTGAACATTGATGATTATCAGAATTGAAAGGTATCGATTTTAAACATTGCGAACATTTTTGCCATCGAAAAGAAGATTCATTATTTGTTGAAGATGTATTTAATGATGATCGAGTTTTAGATGTTCGCATTTTTAATAACAATAAAAAAAATCTAAAATATCGATAATGTTTATATAATTATGATACAATAAAATTTAGCAAAGAATAAAACTCCATTCGTTCAAAATCACAAACACATATATTTTTTTTTATTATCTAATTATATGAAAACTTCGATGAATACATAATGAGACAATCAAATCTTTTATTAAAATGTATAGTTAAGATTCCAAATAGATGCCGTAAAAAATAACCTACCCATGGCTTTCGTGATGAATCCAATCAACATTACTAGATATGAGCGGAACCAGTTGTTTCCGGTTCCCACGCGATCAAGACCATCCTACTCATATTTATTTAGAACACACGAATCGTGACAATATGATATTCGACGTAAATTTTACAAGATCATAAAAGATGTCAATCCTAATAAAAAAAAGTGTTGGTCTTGGTTCCGATTCTGACAGAACCAATCTTGCCCATATCTAAACATTACTATTGTAAAAACATTGATAACCTAAAATTTAATTCGATATTGAAATTCTAATCTTGATACCATTATAAAAATCTTTCATATGTATATATTCATCTATTACTCATGAATTATTAATTTGATTTTACATTTAAGCTAATTACCACAGATACATGTATTTAATATCGAACAATCAATCTTACTGCAACAATAAAAAACCACATGTATGCGTATATGATGGATATTTATATATAGTAATAGAATACACAAAATCAATCTACAAGGGTCAAAATAGGTTCGAATAAGAAACAAGAACAAAATGTATAGTATTCTGTACAATATATAGATTAACAAAACTCTGATTTTTTTTTTCTATTCGAACATAAAGTTTATCGTTAATTATTTTGTTTGAAATTGATTTATTGGTTTTGTTGTTAATTTTGGTGTCCAAAATAAACTTTTTGTATCAACACGTAAACGTCGTTTATCTTGATAATTATCAAATAAATCTTTTGTTATTGAAAGTACGTATGAACCTTGTTGATAACGTATTATATTTAAATTTTGAAGAGCAGCTAAAACATCTTCTTTTTTAATAGCTGTTATTTCACTTAAATCACTAAATAAATAAATAAATAAATAGAAAAAATGAATTTATTTTAATTAATTTATAAAATATACTTTATTGAAAGTGATGGATATTCTGTTTCACCATCTTTTGGTTTATGTTTTAATAATGCTTCTAATATTGCTTCAGACCAATATCGACGATAAGATAATAAACCTAAATCGGATAATGGTTTTTCAGGTGTACCAATTTTACCTTCAAGTTTTGAAAGAGTATAACCTTAAAATAAGAAAAATAAAAAATATTCATTAATTATTTCAAATAAAATCCATCTTACTAAATTCAATCATAAAATGTCCATAACCTTTCTTTTGATAAGGTGGTAAAGTTAAAATACATGATAAATTATAATCTTCACTTGATTCTTTATCCTAGATAAAAAAATAATTTTTCTTTTTGATTTATTATTTAAAAAAAAAAAAAACCTACTTTTGAAAAATAACCAACTATATGAAAACCTTGTGCATCAAATTCTGTTAATATATAAAACATAAATGGATCTGTATCATAATATAATGTTTTATGATCAAGAAATAATTTTGCTAAAAGACACATATTATGTGCATAAGATTTATTTTTTCGTCCATCAATTTCAAAAAATGATATTGTACCATGACGATAAATTTCATTACCAGGTGGATGAATTAAGGTACATTTTGTCTTTAAAATATTTAGAAAAAAAATTCAAAAATAAAAAAAAAAAAAAACAAATAAATATTTAATTTACTCGATGTCGTTTAAGTGCATCAAGATCTTTGCAATATTTCAAACAAAATTCACATATGTAAACAACTGGACATGTTGTAAATTCCTAAAAGAAAAATATCAAATCGTACTAGTTTTCAATGATGAAAATATTTGATAATTATCTCAATAGAAATTTATTTAAGCTACTGAGATAATAAATAATGTAACTCTTCCTTGAGAGTTATTAGTTATTTCTTATTGCTCACTTTCCCATCACTCAATGCTTTATAAATTAAAAGTTTCGCTTAGTTGAGATCAGGCATGTATACATTCCATCCAATCAATGTAGGGAGCTGCGGGTTTATGTTTTTGTGGAGCCGGACCTGCAATTTCCCAACTTTTACACAAAAGTTTGGTATCTACAATATTAGTACTATATTGTATAAAATTCAATTGAGTTATCTTTAAAACGTATCTAACATAGTACATAACGATTCGTCACATCTTCACGAACTTTGATAAATCTTTTAAGTGGAATTCATCATAACCTGTTTCGTATCTCGATTTGTAAAAAACATTAATCTAAATATTTTATCACTATTAAACACCTTATAGGTGAAATCTGAAAGGTGAATTTCTGAATATGAGTTTTCAGCAATTGTATTCAACATTCAGATTTAACTAGAAATGTGTAGTGTTGGTGTAAATACTGAACAGTTACTCATTGACGCAGGGATTATACGAACATCTTCGTTTGCTTCAATATTGAGATATCAATTCTATAAAAATATGCCCTTTTTGTAGTAGGGTGTTCCAATGCTTTAGTGAACATTGGTACCAGTGTGTCTATACAGCGAGTAGACTGAAACTGCATATCTTTAGAATTAACATTATTGCTGAAGGGAGAGAACATCTTTCTTAAATTTGTCACCAACATCTCATAGAATTCCTATGAAAATTCATTCTATGGATGATTATTCTTTGTATATAGAAATTTATTTACCTCTGGATAAGGTGAAAAATACCATGGTTTAATAAAATATCTTCCAAGATGTATTAAATTAATATTTTTCACTTTTGTAACTGAATGTGCACCACTTTGATGTGTATTTCCATTTCCTCGTGCTTTTGTTGGTGCTATTGTTGCTGATGTTGCTGCTGAAAAATTTGTTAATGATGGAAGAGTTGCTGCACGTGATAAATCACTATTTAATGAATCAGCATCATCGGAAAGAAAAAATGTTGTTGTATTTCCAGATGGTATTTCGCTTGATGCACTACTAGTTTTTATTGATGTTGTGGTTGTTGTATTTGGTGGAACTGTTCGTGGTTGAGGTGTAATAGGTATTTCTTGAGAAATATTATTTGATGATGATGATGATGATGATGAACTTGATGATGAAGGAGGAGCTAATTCTTTTAAATTCATTTTATCAATAGTAACCCATTCATCAAGACGTCGATTAAAATTGACATAATGTATATAAAATTCATATACACCATCAAGTTCACGTATACTAACTATTTCAGCTGGTACTAAAAGAAATAAAATCATGATTTAAATTGCTTTCTATTTATTTTGTATATTTTTCTTCTTACTGAAAGTCTTTTGCATATCCATATAAACAGGTACACGACAACCTTCAGTCATTTTAGGCTAATAAAATATGATAAATAGTTTTTGAAAAGTTATATTAAAAATAAAAATATAAATAACTTACAAGAGGTTGAACAACTTTCGTATCCAATGGACCGATTGGTTCGAGCGGCGTTTCCGTCAATTTGGTTTGGGCCGGCTCGGTGACCATTGGCATTTTTTGCACCATATATAATAATTTAAAGCGACATAAAATCTATGAAATAAAATATAAAATTTGAATATATGTACTTTGAAATGTAGTGAATAAGTAATAAACAACAACGTAATTGAGAAATTGATAGAAGTAAAAGCAGAAATAAATAAACTGGAGTTGACTTCATCATGAGTCGTCATAATAGAATATATTTATCAACCAATCATAAATTGTCTTTGTTATTTTTTTTGTTAATTATTATAACAAACAAATAAATGAATTTTTTTAAAATTTTAATTAAAAACAAACTCGATATTTCTAATTTTTACTTTAATATATTTAGAGGTTAGATACTTATTTTTGATTGGTTACTAATCTTGTCTTAATGTTGAAACTAGTTATCGAAGTTGAAGTATTGTATTTGGAAATTGTTTAAATGAAAAACATTTGTTACAACTAAATTTCATCTTGCTATCAATGAAAATAGCAGATATTAATTTTAATCAATCGATATTTTTATAAAGTGTTTATATGGATGTTCAACTATGAAATTACTATCGTATTATTGATATGAATCATATGTGGAGTTTATCTCAATTTAGTTCCAAAGGACTATGTAAGATTGACTTTTAATGTATATTTTTTTTCAAAATTTCTTTAAATATTTCATACATCAATTTCTAATCGAATTAATAGAAAGATATACTATTACAAATTTGAGATTCATATGTCGATTTTGTTCCATTTGCGAATCTCTGAATGCATTTTAAAATAAATAAGAAGAACGCAATTATGAGATCTTTGTCAGCATTTAATTGAAAACAACAGCATTTCGCTTAAAATATGAAGTAAATTTAGAAGTGTAGCTCATCACTAGAGATAGGAGACGTGCAGAGTAGACATTAGAGCCCGTCGGACTCTACCCTACATATTTCTCAGACAATTCGTTTGACAAAAATGTAGAATGCATTAGTCATCGAATACAGAACACCAGAAAAAAAAAGATCACGTATCTCTGAGGCGGATATCCTATTCCGATTAGAAGATTTAATTGAAAGTATCAAGATACGGTTTGAACCCGACGGGCTTTAGTAGATATGCACTAAATTTAAATTCCTAAACGGTTTAGGTTTAAGTTTAGTGCAGAACGATTGAGTCTCAGAAAAAAGGGGCGTTGTATGAACAAATTTCAGAAGCAGAGAGGTCACACCCATAAGTCACGTTCCTGAGTAAATTCATTTCGAACAAACCTTAGAATCAATTTTTACATTCTTTCATATTTTGAATTCTAAAATTCAAAATGTTTTTAATCTGTAAATCAATGTGTCTTAGTTAGTATTTACTTACTAGGTTACTCAGTCATTCATCGATTTTTTTTTTTTTCTACGCCCATTATTTTTAATATAATGCGTTTATTCTGTTCTCTCAACTATTTTTATGTTCTGCTTTTTTTGTTTAATTTATTCAATGTTTGCATCCTATCGAATATATATACGTAGCCGACAAAACAACTTAAGAGCTTGCATACATCTAAACATATAACTTTTTTTTCCTCATTCTTTTACCTTGAACAACATATTAACAATGAAACAAGGAACAGGTTTACCTGTGTAGGAGTCGTTTTTTTTTCTTCTTCTGTATTATAAAACATAAAGATTTCTATTTATTAAGATTGTTCTCTAATGGACGAACACATTTAAATACTTCATTTGGTCAATCAACATCTAACGTTAGGTTAATTTATTATAATTGAATTGTAAATATATTGAATTTTATACTTTCTTTTCCATTTAGTTCAACATCTTCTTTTCCTCAAACCTTACTCAGTAGTTCTTGTTTGAGTCATCCTTTACTATATCGTCTTCCAGTGAAAAAACTTAAACCTGAACCATGGCACCGACTTTTTCATGTATATTAATGCATATAGAAAGAAAATTATTTTGTCCAAATTCGATTTGTTCTTTTTTTTTTACAGGCTAAAAAACGACAAGAATTAATAATAAAACAAAATAAATCAAATGTTGATTCAATTATAAATAAAGATTTGATTAATTCATTTGATGAACGTTCTAATTTCGATGAAAACTCTCAGTAATAAAAAACAAAGAAAATCTTTTTTTTCATTTATAAATTAATTCTGTTTCTACTGTTAATTGTTATATAGATGTTCGTCTATTCCGGGATCAATACAAATACACTTTAATCATATATATGAACAAATGAATGAAATAACATTACAACTAGCCGAAGAACGTTTTAAACACAAACAAACACAAATTAAAGTATTCTATTGCAATTTTATTTTTATTTTTATAATAAAAGAAAAATATATATCCGTTTAGACTGAAGAAATACTTGCCAATCAATTACAAGATCAAGAGAAACGATTTAATGAATTACAACAACAACAATTACTTGATCATCAAAAACAATTGAAAGAACAAGAAAAAAAATTTTTAGATTTATTAAATGAAGAACAAATGGAAAATCTTAAACGTGAAGGAGAATTAAGAACTGAACTTGAATTTGTAAAACAATCATTTCATGCATATAAAGTAAAAATTTATTTTTTTTTTTTTTTTTTTTTTTTTTTTAAAAAAAAAAAATTTTTTTTTTTTTTTTTTTTTTTTTTTTTTGTACAATCGAAATAATTTATTCTTCTAGGTTACTCTTGAAAAAGAGAATGATGAAAAACTTCAAATTAGACTAAGTGAAGTATTAAGAACAATGAAAAAAGAAGTACCGAAAAAAGAAGAAGAAATTAATCGAAGAATTCATGAAGCTATTATGAACGAACGAAAAAATATTATTTTAAGACAACAAAAAGAAACTGAAAAAATACGAAAACAACATCAAAAAGAAGTTACAGTAAATATAATTTCATGAAAATAGATTTTTTAGTCAAATATTGTCTATGTAGACTCTTCAAAAAACTATTGCTGATACAAATGTGGATCGTGAACATCTAGAATCTTTAAAAAAAGACTTAACATCGACGAAACTTGAATTTATTGAAACAAAAGAACATGCAATTAATTTAGCTACACAATTAAACGATCTTAAAATTCAACATAATGAAACTGTATGTAGATCTTATTTCTTAATATTATTTATTATATTCTTTTGTTTTAGATTCGAGAATTCAATGAATATTGTTTTCATTCTAATGAAAAAATAAAACAAACTTAAAAACTTTATGCCGAACTATGTAAAAAAAAAAATCATGCGGATCTTTGGTAAATCTAACAAACGTACCACCATAATATTATGGTACTCAGTGTATTTTTTTTTTGTATGTTTTTTGTTAGCTTTCATTCGATCGATTTGATGCTTCGTAAAAAGAAAAAAGATTTACTATTTATTCCGTTACGAAGTCTACACTTTTTCTACGCATATGCATAATTAGTTGGTTCTTTTTTATCAAAATGTTTGCTGGAGATAATGAGAATCAATGAAACCTTTTTTTTTTTTTTAAATAACTTTCCTACAATGATTGATCATTCAATGGCTTCATGTGATTGCATGCAAAAGTCCAATTGTTCTTGTATACCTTATTGCCAAAGCTGAAAGCGACAAAACTCTACTATGGATTCATTAAAGACATTTTCTTTTTCAAGTATACTTCAAATCGAATCATTGGCTATTTTAATCAAATAGTCATCTTGTTTCGTTTTACTTTTTTTTTTGAACTTTGGATAGTATTCCATACTATCAAATAGATAAAATCCTTTAATTTCAAAATTCATTGTTTCATAAGCAGTTTATAGGTCAACTTCGAAATATTAGAAGAACAAGAAAAAGGATATTGTGTATAGTTTTCTTTACTAAATGAAATTCTTTTATCTAGAATTCTCTATCAGTCGAGACCCGGCAAATTACGAAAAAAACAAAATTTAAACAGTTTTAAGATAGACAATTTCCTATTAAAACTAAAAATCTATCATTTTTATTTTAGTTATTAGAAAATTATATGTGAAAAAATGTGATGAATTAATTCAAGAAATCGACGATCAAATGAAAATTTATATGAACTCAACTTCAAAAAAAAAAACTTCTTCTCGTTAATTTCAGATACTTTCTTTTTTATTAAGAAAATTCAATATAAATGATATTGAATATAAACATTATTGGAAAAAATTTATGATCCAATCAAAGATTAAAAAACAAAAACATATTTTAGATGATGTTCAACATGCATTTGAATTATTTTTGTTTTTTTTTTTTTTTTGAAAGAAATGTTCTATTTGTTTTTTACTATTAGATCTATTCTTTTTTTTTTTTTAAACTTTGATTTTAATCTACATCATTTTGACGATAAGAATGTAAAGGGATTTGGAAGTATTGTTCATATGATACTAGAGTAAAATTCCTTTTATCAATGCTAAATTTACATGATTTTTGCTTCCGTTATCATCGTCACAACAAAATATTTGTTTGTCTAACTTCGGTCTAAAAATTTTAAAAAATAAAAGATTATCGAAATATAAAGAGAGTTTAATTGAAAATCGAATTAGTTATGCAGAACTTGAATCTATAATCTTGAAATATATGTATAAATAAGATTCTTTTTTTGTATATACTTATATTATTTGTTATTTTAGATGCAAAATAGTGATTTACTTCGTCTTTTCGAAGATCTATTGATCAAATCGAAAAATGTCGAATATATTGAATTACTCGAACGTATTCATATTCAATTATCAAATATATCATCATCAATTCAATTTGAACAAGTTCATCAACATATTCCATGGTCAAATTTATTTAATTTACTTCGATCAAATAAAAATGATGAAATTGAACGTCTTCTATGTGCAATAATGGAACATTTTATAAATAATCTATCTATTGAACAAATAATGACTGATTTTTCTCCATTATTAAATACTGGTCTTGAAAATCAAACAGGATTATCTCAACGAGGAAAACTTTTATGTTTAAAAGCATTTGAAAAATTAACACATTGTACAACAACTGAATGTTTTTTTATTATACAAAATTTATTTCAATATTCGCATATAAATTCACTTTTACATCTTTTTCTTGATAGTGATGAACAAATTTTATGGTTAAAATCAAAAGAAATTCTTGAACAAATGATTCATACAGTTAGTCGTATTGATGATAAACAAATATTACAAAATTATTTACATGAACATTATTTTCATGATATTAATCGACAAATTTTACTTTCATCAAATAAATTAAATGAAATCGTTAAATTACGTTTATATGAATATTTAATTGATTTATGTTTAATTGATCCACGTATTTATGAACATATTACAGAAGAACAACATTTATTGGATCAATTTTTATATGATTGTACACATAGTGATACAGATATATTATATTTAATGAATTGTTTAGAATTATTAACTGTATTAACACAAAAATCTCATACATTGAATTATTTACAAAATAAAACAAATGTTATTGATCATTATTTACATTTATTATTATCAACAAATGATGAAAATAATTTATATGATTTAATTAAACCAGGTTTAATTAAATTTTTTGGTTGTTATTTACGTAATTATCTTGTTTTACTTGAAACAAATATATCAAATAATCAACAAAATCAATTAATCGAACGATTTCTACCTATTCTTTTTGATATTCTTCTTCAATCTGATCCAAATCCTTATATTATTATCGGATTAGGTAAGGTCAAATCGATTTCATCAATCAAAAATATTATTGATAATTTTGAGAAATAACTAGATCGAGAAATCAAGATCATAGCGACTAACTTCAGGTAGAAATAAAATATCTTTACCATTTTTCTCTTCGTTCATTTAACTGTTCTGAATATTTTTAAGAACTCATCGAGATAGAATAATGAATATAGTTTTTTTCTCAAAATTCGAGATTATTTAAATATTTATTTTTGAAAAATTTTCTTAATTGTCTAGATACAATTGGATTTATTGGTAAAACATTAAATGGAAAAGAATATATTCTTTCAAATATTAAATTCAGTGATTTTATTGGAAAATTAATTCAAATGATACATTCATCTCAATCTGATATTCGGTAAAACTTTCCAAAAAAATAATAACAAAGAAATTTTATTATTATTCTTTTCTTATTTTAGTATTCGTTGTCTTATTTGTCTTGCTGATTTATTTCATATATCAAAATATAATAGTTCATCATCAAATGCTTGGACTCTTACAGAACAAATTTATCGTTTATGTAATCGAGGATTTTCTATTTTACCAATTATTATTCAAATAGCTAAACAACCATTTATTGATTTACGTCTTGCTGCTTATCGATGTTTATTTGAATTAACACGATCACCATGGGCATTACATGCTATGAATGCTGAACCGGGTTTTATTGAATTTCTTCTTAATCGTTCAACAGAAAAAGATAAAGAAGGAAAAGAAGTAAAATTTTCTATAATTCAATCGATTTGTGAAAATGGTGAAGAAGCAAAATTAGCAATTGGAAATGTTAATTATTTAAAGTTTAGACGTTATATCAATGAAGGAATTTATTATGTTGAACCCGAAGCTAATGTTGCTTTTGATGGATCAAATGAATAATATATCTTCTTTTTTTTTTTTTTTTTTCTTTCTAATTTTATTGTTAAAAACAAAATAAACAAGTTATCATTTTTTATTTCAGATATTTTATGGCTAATATATCTGAACAACTTCAACAAGCAGTCAATAAAGGTCTTTCTCATAAAGAACTTGTTGACAAGTGAGTAATTTCATTTTCAATAGTTTAATAAATCTTAAATTAAATATCAGTTGACTTTGGAAAAAGAAACCGATTTTATTTTTTTCAAACTATTACATTTCACTTTGAAATATCTATAAAAGATAATTATTGGTTAATATTGAAATTCTTGATAATGTTAAGCGTTTTTGAAGAAAGTAGAACGATTTATGATTATATTTATATTTTCTTTTCATATAAAATCATAATCATATGCTTCGATTTTGCTTGAGATCTATAATTGTAATTCAAAATTTTATATTTTGTTCTTTATCAAATAGATGACGTGTAATTATTTATGATAAATACTAAATTATGATTGTTTAACGATTTATATTTTACTATTCTTAAAAAGCGACAAATTATTTGACAAATTTTCTTTTCTTTTTTTGAGATTTTATTACTAAATGTAATCATTATTTTATTTTTCTCTTTAGATTCAAATCAATTCTCGATGAAATTATCAAAGATCCAAAACAAACACAAATAATGGATAATTTAAAAAAATTTCTTGATGCTGGTTTGTATTTATATAAATGTTTCATTTTATATTATCGATTTTGTATTTAGTTGTGGATGATAAAATTGTTCTTGTTGCATCACGTCAATTATTAACAGATTTATGTACATCATATTTAACTCATCTAACTCAATCATCACCTGAACAAGCAAAAGAACTTGCATTATATGCACTTGAACGTATTGCTGCTCGAGCTATATCATTTGAAGATCAAGTTGGACTTTATAGAAATTTTCTTGCTGATATTTATGAACGTGAAGAAAATTGGCGTGAAGCAGCTAAAGTTCTTTGTGGTGCACCATTAGAATCAGCTCAAAAGTATTTAGAAGCTTTTTATTGGTTTTTTTTTTATTTGAATATTTTTGATAATTATTATTAGACCTTTATCATCGGATTATAAATTAAAAACTTATTTACGTATTGCACGACTTTATCTTGAAGATGATGATCCAGTTCAAGCAGAAGTTTTTATCAATCGAGCATCACTCTTACAAAATGAAACACGAGATGAAGAATTACAAATTCTTTATCGAGTATGAAATTCTTTTTTTTGTTTTTTTTTGAAGAAATCTATTAAAGAAAAAAGGATTTTTTGATTTGATTGCGAAAAATTTATCATGTCTGATAGGATTTTGATAACAAGGAATTTTTCGTATACAAGGACGTATCGGCTTCCGTGAATGAATTTCAAATATTTAACAAAATATGACGAAATATTTTAAGTAAACAGAACAAATCGTTTTTCTAAAATTATCTTACTTCGGACGTAAACTCATAGATAACACGAACCTTATGCTACAAGTTTTTTTTTAGAATTAATAATCAGTCAAAAAGCATTTCATGACTGTTTTTTAATTAATTTCTTATTGATAAAAGATAGAAACCTGCAATGAGATGAGTTCAAATCAGAATTAAAACGAATAAATTCAAAAAC